TAGAACTCGTACTCGTAAATCAGATCAAAGTGCAACAAAAGGCTTTGTATAGCACATAGCGACATCCCTTTTAAACTGTACTCAAGTAAAGATCAACACTTAGTTGTCATTCTGTAATACGAGCCTAAAAAATCAAGCTTTCTATGGAGTACGTATTCAAGACTAGAAGCAACAATAAAGATGAAAAAACACATACATATCGACCTGTCCTTAATGAGTGCATTTTTAAAAAGAGCCACATCTCGTCATCACCCAAAAAAATCTAAGAATTTCACAGCATCTGATATTGAAAAGTTTTTTAACGAAGCAACTAATCCGAATATTTGCCGGCAAAAGTAAGCTAGTTTCACATTCAGTATTTACTTAAGTATATTAATCAACTACTTAACATAATGTTATACGTACTTAGTAGATGTTGATAGGCATAATTATGCATGCATATCAATTTTATTAATTTATCTACTACAATACTCTTTACGTTACACGTTGTTCTTATTATTGGTGCAAACGGAGTATGTCGAAATAATGAACAAACACAACTTAATGCCATTAATATTGAGTAACATTCATATGACTTACTATTAATTAATTTGCTTTATAAAAATACAAAAAGAGACCGCAACTTCTTCATTCGCAAGGAATACGTAACGATAGTTGAGAAATATCATGCCTTACGTCCGCCTAACACTTGAATCAATCAATTTTTTCTACAATATCGCAACGGAAAGTGTGTCAGACAGCCTGTGTGCTAATAAAATTGGCAGTATCCCACGAGAAATAGCAACTTTTCTTGAACTTCCAGAACCCTCGTTGTACACTGGTCATTGTTTCCGACGAATTTCAGCCATTTTTGACCGATTCAGGAGTTGATCTCCTGTCCCTTAAGCGCCATGGAGGCTGGAAGTTCAATGCGGTTGAAAAGGGTTACATAAAGGATTCCATCCAAAATATGTAAAGGCATCGTAGGAGCCATTACACTGAAGGAGCCCCACTCAGAGCCTTGGACTGGCCCACGCGCACCCACTAGTAGTCTATATCTAGACGCTTGCGGTACCACGGTATCACTCGCGCGTTACCTACCCTGTAACCTGTAACTGTACCTCAAGCCACTAAATTTTCTATGGAAACTAAAAGCAGTGCCCTTGCACTTGCACGTTTATATCTTACCGATTTAAACACCAGAACTAAAAGGTAGTGTTATAACATTGTGTTACTTCTCTGAACGAGTAGCCCGCTGTGTTCTACCTTGCTTTTAATGATATGGGCTTGTCACATTATCATATATTTATTTTAATACCTCCGTCTTAAAATTGGGAAATATAAATTAGGTAGTTGTTTTTAAAATATTTTCTTACTTACATTTCGTTACAAACGACTATTCGTTGACGATTATATCTGTTAATATTTTTATAGTAAATTTGATGAGAAGTTATGCTTGTTCAATGTTCATATCTCTGATAATTTATAAGTATAACATATACTTCTACATAATTGACATCGTTACTATACAAATAGAGCTAGTATACAGATTAATCAGTGAACAAGTTACTGACTAGTCAACATATGGGACGTCTAAATTCGAGTTACATGATTTGTTTCATAATTCGGTAATTCATCAATTGTGGTTATTTTTGTTCCCAAAATAATGCGTAGTTTATCTGATGATTGTTGCTGAATAACCTGCCCGTGAATATTAATAGTTTTCCTTTGTTGAATAGTATTTAATTTACTTAACTGGCACTGATATGCCGTAACAACGATTACCATCTCTAGTGTAAAATATTGTAGGAAAAGTGTTTATGTAACAGATTTATAGATTTATTGTGCTTTCAAGGCCATCTATTTCCTAAAAAATTCTCACCCCTGATGGCTAGTAACAATGTTTTACGGCTAGTTTCAATAATCAAACTCCAGCAGAAGGTAGGCCTACTCAAGCTTTGTTGCTAACATATTTTTATTATTAAGATTATAATAACAGCCGTTGCTAAGAAACGGAACCAGATTATCCTTACCTTTTACTTTAGGTTGATTATTGAAACTTGCCGTTAGTGTCTCAATTGTTGTTGAGTTATGTACCCAGCTTGGTCGTTCTTTGTCATGACGATAGCGAGCGAACTTGAATTGTGTGTCACGTATAGTGTCTACACAACAAGCGGCAAGCGTTTATGCGATAACATTTATTTTATTCGCACTTCTATCTTATTATCATTTTGTAATTAATCTTATTGTCATGAAGCTTTTCTTCAAATTATTTTTCCTTAATAGATGATTAGTTTCGCTCAATTTCGAATGTTTGTGGAGGTATTTATATAAATTTTATATAGCTTTACTATTCCTAGAACGGAAGCTAAAGCTATTCAAAATCTGAGGTTGAATGAACCTCAGAAATCAGTAGATTCTCTAAAAGAGTTTAAGTCAGTTATTTCTAATAGATTCAATTTCAAGCTGGGTAAAAATATAAAATAGGTCCGGTTATTTTCGTGTCGTCTGCGTGCTCTTGTCACTTGCGATCATTTCTTATATAATAGTACGCAGCCTTTGCGTTCCGACTTATGTAACCTAGTATTAAAGCAATGAATACAAATGTCACAGGCGCATTTAGGTACTTATTTTATAAATTAACTAATTTTTTATATCCCTTAATTAGAGCAGTGTGTATTGATAAAGTACTTGCTCCTGACATCTAACTCGTTATGTTTATTTTCAATAAGAACCCATATATTTTATTAACTAGCTGATCCGATGACTCTTAAAAAAAGATTTTTTTGTTAAACTTGTTCTGATAATAACGTACGGAATAAAAAAGAATATGCCAATTTTGTTCAGTCGTTCGGAGTTATACGCGTACATACTTTCCGACTATTTATTTTAACAATTTAGAAATAACATTATGTACTTGTATTTTCATAGAACAAATCTGTTATTGGGCGTGTTTAAGATTAAATTTAAGTAATGCAAAAGGGTTTCTTTATAACAAAATCGTGATAATGTGAATCCTCCCTTCACTTTAAGCAATCCATCCAAGTCAAGGCCTCCAATAGAAAACTAACAGCCAACGCTTGACGAAACCGAGCAACATCCGTTTTGCAACTTTAATGATTGATAAAACAAAATACTGTTTTCTATTTATTGTTCTTAGTTGTGGCTCAGTGTGATTTGATCGGAACATAGAGAATTATAGTTTATTTATTTTTGGGCAGCTTTTGTTTACCTACCCCGATATCATCATAAGCCGATTGACATGGCACCGTGCTGGGCAATACCTTTCCCTAGGACCCCCACACTTAACGATTATGTGCCTTATTCTACATCATGTGGCTTATCTTTAGTGTAGTGTAATATTAATGGCAAACAACAACAACCCTTTGTACGAACCATGATCGAGTTCGAATAGTTGGATTCGATCTATTTTATACTTCAAATGTGTGCTGATTTTTAATTCCTGTTACGTCCGTTGTGACGCTGCTATTCAAGTTTCCATACTTCGACAATGACATTTCGCACTTGCAAACTATTCGAAATCGATTTTGGTACGTGCTAAGGGTGCTGATTTCATCATTATGAATGCGAAAGCATTTCTTCTTGTTTGTCTGATTATTAGTTTAACAGCGAAATTGATATTGGCTTACAACGAGAAAGATAAAGGGGAAGAAAAGCGATACATTTAGAATGATGAAAGTTTATATGGTTACCTGAGAAACTTTACTAGCTAATTCAGACATCGGTTTAGGTTACATTTCCGCAAAAAATTATCTTTAATTATTATTTTCGAAAAATGTCTCCACGTTAACTCACTAATTTTGTAATTATGTAACCTTAAAAAAAATATTTGTAATAAATTGATTCAAATAAGCCTACATTTAGAATCTACATAATCTAAATGGATAATAATTCCATAATAGGTATGTTATTTACAAATTTGCGCCGATTAAGGATATTTTATAACCGCTATAAATAAAAAAATATGTATTGGGGTGTAGTACTTCTACCGTTTATAAATGTTCACACTGTTTTTATTTACTCGATTTTTAAGTTTCTCAGGCAAATCAAAATTCACGGTGTATAGTTTGATATAAAACTCATTGCCATTTGCACTCATTGCACTGAAATGTATTTTTATGAAAATGTATCATGTTAGATTACATGAGATTTTTATTTATATTTGTGTTATTTTGTATGTCTTTATTGAACGTACGTACCCAATATAGTTCTTTCTTTGTTTGTGACAAATAATGTTGCGGTTTGGATCACTATAAGCTTGCCAGCTGTTCTTAATATGATGTAAAGGTGCATAATTAGTGGTTTTGTATCGCTTTGGCTGAGTAAGTAACGCGCAGCATAACTAATAATTAACCATACTTACTAAGAAACATTGATATTAGACAAATGCATTCGCGACCACCTACTTATATTGATTAAACGTTTGCTACTGTGTGTTCTCCTTATTGTGTTAAATATTCCTCATAAGTATTTAATTTCATTTAATAATGTGCTTTAACGTGCAGCTTCTGAAAACAGCCAAGTCAGCTTTATTTGATGTATAATTCCCTGTAATTCAGTTAGTTTTCTTCGATTGAACAATTATTTAACTATTATGCTTAAGTTGAAATTTTGTTTAACGTTTATATAACTAATGCTTGGCGAATATGTTCGTTCATTGACAGGTAAGTTAGTTAACATTTCATCATTTCATTATTTGGAAATGTGAATTTCAATTACATAATATACCAGTTACTTATTATATTACTATGACTGCCATACATCCACCGTTAGCGTGGTGTGCAGTCCACAGTTATTATGTGATTTTTCACTACCAGTTCAACATGTTAAAATATATACAATATTAAAGTATATATATCAAAACTTTTTGTCAATAGCTTAGGTAAGTTTTGTATTTGAGGCTTTACCTTTACCCATACAAATCTGTTTAAACTATTACAAGAAATGTGTTCCATATAAAATGACAACTAGTGGCATAATTATGATGTCATTGTTCGCAGATGCTACGTGTCCGTCGGTAATGAGGCGCCGACGGCGGGTGCGAATCCGCCGCAACCTAAAGTATTACGTCAGGATATTTCCGTACATCAACGAACGGATGCCGATGTTACCACAGGTTAGTTATTCATTTATTCCTCTTATGTTACACGTACATAATATGTTTTGACCCAAAGGGTAAAAACGGGACCCGATACTAAGACTGCTGTTCGTCTGTCTGTCACCAGGCTGTATCTCATTGGCCGTGATAGCTAGCCAGTAAAAACATTCACATATGATGTATTGCTGTTGCCGCTATAACAACAATTACTTAAACAGAATAAAATAAATATTGAAGGGAATTCCATACAACAAAAGTGTTTTTTTCCGTGTATTACTCTATATTAATAACGACAACAGGAGACGCTTGTTTTTTTTTATTATTGTGAGTTTTCTTTACCTGTGTATAATGCAACCATTCGAGTGAGTTGAGAATACTCCCACCCCCTTCCCCTCAAAGTTCTCCACGTGCTGATTACGATCTACTGAAGGTCGCGGGAAGCTGCTGGATGCTCAGGGACGCTCAACATTGAATTAAAATGTATACGTAACTTTACGCAATCTCCCTTGAAGGGTGGTCAGTTGTATGGCAGCATGATTAGATAACATGTTCGTTATCTGACGTGCTCGTTAGGTTGAACTAAGGTTGTGGATGTATTAATAATATGTTTATCTACACCTATGCTTTAAAAAAGCTTTTTAAGATTCTGAATCAATTAGCTTATTGAAAACATTAAAACATCCAATGTCAGAATCAAAATAAAATTATAACACTAGTTTGGGTGTTATGTTTTATTAAAAATCACTGTCCTGATAACACTCCTTCGCTTTTTAAATCACTTCCGCGCCCAGGGCGTGCACATCAGACCACCACAATTTCCACTACCGGATGCGTGGTATTATGAATTTCAAAAAAAGAACATTGCTATTCACGTCCGCTCAGCGCCGAAACTTTTCATGAATTTTAAGTTCCATAGATGAATGATTGGTCTCGCTTCACTGTAGCGATGCCAGTGTTGGGCGTAATTAATTACTTTTGTAATTTAATTACTAATTCAATGAATAGTAATTGAATTACTTTAATTGAAATTACATGTATTTGAAATTATTGTAATTCAATTACTTACATCCGAAGTAATATAAATTACATTAGTTTGTAATTCAAATTACTCAATTACTTTTTAAGCGTAACATAATAAACTACTAAAATTGAGCGGTTATTAGCTTGATGCCCGTACCACGGTAGGATTATCTATACCATATTGTGACTCCGCCCTGTCCTTGAAAATTATATATGCCTACGGCCGAGCGCTGCAGTAGCACGCGGTAGGGCCGCCCGCCTACAGTATTTTATGTAGTTTTGTTTTTAACGCGAGTGTAGGTAGATTACTCGTTTGTCTCTTTTTTCATCCTAACCACTTATTTATATATTATTCCAGATATTTTGCCCGATGGAAATACCGAAATACCTAATTATTAGAAACAAATTACGTACTAGTAGATAGGTATATAAAAAATATTCTATAAAGGTAAGACACCCTTCCAAAATATTTCAGATAATTTAAAAAATGATATCTCTGGATGTGTTATTGAAGAGTTCAAGCAACCAAAAACAGCAATTGTGATGTTGTACGATATTGATCGTCGTTTGTTCTTTTCCATACTAAATTATGTAGGTATCTACTTAATTAAATCAAATATTTACAATACAAAACGCACGTTTAAGCACGGCCAACTGCATAAAAAACAATTCCACTCCACGTCGTTGCGGCGCGGCGCACTATGTGGAGGTGCCTAAGAGAGCTTGGCCATAAATACATTTTGTAAAAATCGGCGCAGGTACTTGTATTATACCTCAAACTATAGCTAAGAAGTTGATCTACTATATTATGTATAAATTATGTATGTAACTAGTACTTTTTTTATAGTAAAGAGCATCTAAATACGATGATTGAAAAATTATCACGAAAACATCATAATTTGTATTTTTTTCAGAATGATTTTCTAGTAAGCTAGCAATGAAAATTATACAAGTATTATACCATTTTAGAAAGCTTATAATATATACTTTTTTTTGGTATACACAAATATGTTATCTATTTATAAATATATTTACTAGAAATATTTATCTCATGACATATCATTTTTGCGTATCTGAAATTTTCTATTAGAGTTTTGACAGTTGCCGAAATTTGCCGAAGGTCTGTAAATGATGTTATTTGATAGGAAATTTAATATTTTTATACAGGAAGAAAAAAAAAGTTGCAACTTCATTGCACAACATAATGCTATCTATCATAACATGAAATAGTAATAATTTCTTAAAAATACGTGGGCGAATCTATTTGTTTTATTAGTTGATATAGGTTACACTTGTGATATATTATTAATTACGGTTTATGTTTTGATAATGTATCGAGTATTTCTCACCATTTTTAGTTCGCCTACAAAATAAATTATCAATAAAACACATAGGAAACCGAGTAACCACATAGTATAAATAGTTTTTATTCCCATACTTTGCATACGTTTCAAATCAGTTATTTAATATAAAATAGAGCATCTGCATACTGAATAATTACATACTGTTTTTCGTTCGTTATTGTCGTTACTAAAAGTGTATCTAACCACCTATGAGTGAATTCCAATGTACCAGACGCGACCTATGTCTTGTTTTGATTGAAAGTGACGGGAATTATGTTGTTGCTTTAACAAGTTATATACGGAATAATTTTATCAACTTTTCTGAGGCAAATATCGCTAAAATTGTCGCGAGTGTACAAAAAAATCTTATTACGAACTTTCGTCAACGCTACACTAAATCTGGCAGAAATAAAGATTTTTTTTTAAATCAGAATAGCCTGTGGTTGAATGCCACATTCACAGTAAATCTGGAAGATCCTACTTGTGAATCTGAACCTTCGACATCGACGGGGAAGAGAGGACGCCCTTCTAAAACCTACGAAGACAGTTCCGATAGAACACAAAGACGAAAAAACAAGGAGTGCTTGAAACATGTGGCCTTGATTTTATACTGAATTCATATCTTCAAGGATTGAGATCTCAAGGGGAAACGGAAGAAGCATTCATTGTCGAAATTTGACGAGTATTACCCATAGATAAAAAAAGTGAAATACGTCAAAATCTTTTAAATGAACCGGCACATTTAACAGCGTACTCTAAAGATGAAGCTCTCAGTATTTTTATAGAGTTGGACCTTAACATGGCACAGTATGAAAACATGAGAAATTGCTTAATTGCGAAGAACTGCGTATTATTTCCGTCATATAAATCAATTCAGGAAGCTAAAGGAATGTGCTACCCACCAAGATCAAGCATAGAAATTAATAATATTACAGCAAAAATAAAACTGCAAGATCTGCTGGATCACACTATTGCAAGAATTTTGAAAATCAATGGTGTATACAAAGCTGGCAAAAAACATTTAATGCTGTATTCGAAATGGGGCTGTGATGGCTCAAGCGGACAAAGTGAATGCAAGCAAGTCTTAACTGAAGAGGATGAGTTAATTTCTGACACAAATTTATTTATATTTTCATTAGTACCTCTGAAACTTGTTGATATTAATACAAATGAAACTTTGTGGGAAAACCCTGTTCCATCATCAGTAAGATTTTGTAGGCCCATTTTAATAGAATTTTCAAAAGAGACACCAGAGAAAACTACAAGTGTAGTTAATGAAATTATAGCTCAAAAAACGCTCTCACAACAAGCTTAATCAATAAAAATGGTGAAAGTATTGAAATCAAACACACATTATTTTTGACAATGGTTGACGGGAAAGTGGCTAAAGTTTTGTCAGAAACTTCATCAGGTGCTGTATGTACTATTTGTGGTGCAAGACCTACAGAGATGAACAATTTAGAAAAAGTACAAAATAAACCTGTTGACGAAAATTCTTATCAATATGGGCTTTCGATTTTACATTGCTGGATTAGATTCATGGAACTAATTTTACATATATCTTATAACGTAGGCTTTGAAAAATGGTCTGCTACAACGACAGAAAATAAAGATTTGAAAAAACAAAAGAAGACATATGTACAAAGAAGGTTCAGAGAAGAACTTGGTTTAAATATAGATAAACCTAAGCAAGGTTCTGGTAACAGTAATGACGGTAATACAGCTAGACGATTTTTTCAAAATTATCAGTGCACTGCAGAAATTACCGGTGTGGATGAGGAATTGATAAAACGATTTTATGTTTTACTTCAAGTTATGTCTAGCGGAAAAGTAATTAATGCTACGAAATTTGGACAGTATGCTTTCGATACAGCACAACGATATGTTAGTAAATATATGTGGTATTATATGCCATCATCTGTCCATAAAGTCCTAATTTATGGGGAAAGTGTAATTCGGCATTATTCAGTGTTACCTCTTGGACAGCTCTCCGAAGATGCCCAGGAATCAAGGAACAAAGACTATAAACGATTCAGACTTCATCATGCTAGAAAATGCTCTAGAGTAGCTACAAATGAAGACGTTTTACATACACTTTTGTACACTTCAGACCCTTACATAACAAGTTTAAGAAAACCTTCCAATAAAAAGTCCATGGAACTTATAGATGAAGCTGTAGAGCTAGTAGAATAATATAATTCTATGTTATTTTCTTTTTCTTATTATATTTAATTAATAAGAGTAATTTTATGTGTTTATTTTGTATTAATTATAACATTTAGGTCACATTGTTTAAAATTAGTCGTAAATTTATGATAATTTTTCAATATTTCATGTTTTGTATTTTTTTTACAATTATTAAATATATTTTTATATGCATAGACTGTATATTATTTTAAAGTACGTTTATCTCAGATTACCTAAAAAAATCAGCTGTATATCTATAAAAACATGGAAGTTATAGATTTATGACCCGAAACCGACTCGATCTCTACATAGTGCGGCGGCGCATTCGCGACTGGGTGCCCGCCGAGAGCACATCGAACTCGAGTGGCGTAGGTATGACTCGCTTTCCGACCTTTTGTATGAAGATAGAATACTGTCTGATATTATTACCGTGCCCACAACAGCACAAAAAGCAACAACAAATAAAGTTTTAGTGTATAATTTGCCATGAATTTATGAGTGTGTTAGTGTGTGCCTCGTTACCAGTACCTACACAGCTACCTATCCCCTTTCTAGTCTCTCGCGGCGTGCACCTTTATTTCGATTGATTGTTCTCATATGCTACAATGATTAACTTACCAAAATCTTACAAACTTTCTGATCAAATGTTTGAACAAAGAGGAGTATTAATGTCTAATTTAAAATAAATTAAACATTTATTGTCTTAATTTTAAAAAAGGTGGTTATAATTATACAATTTATCTGATCTATTTCGTAAATAAACATTTGATAAATCATAATATAATAGTTTTATTTAAAATACTACCTCGTCATTAAAAGAGATTATATATAAGTAATTGAGTAATTGCAATTAACAATTACAATTGCTAATTGTTATTGTTAATTGAATTACCTTTCAATAATTTCAAGTAATTTGTAATTAAAGTCACCAATTACAATTTGTAATTGAAATTGTTAATTTGAAGTTAATTACATTTTGCCCAACACTGAGCGATACCAATCATTTATTTTATCTATGTTAAGTTCTTAGAACGGTTTCAGAATCTTTTATAGAGGATTCATTATCACGAGTGTACATAAAGTCTTGTATGCAACTGTTATAATTAGGTATTAAAAAACTCATGTGATACTATTATCACACTATGTACAAAAGTTGCAAAAATAACTATTAGCTCATTGTTAGTAATCTATACTAATTTCATAAATTACAGTTTGTCTTCAAATAAACGCGGTTGAAATAGCAGAGAACTGGTAGTGCTTTACCCTTATCCATACCAATATTATAAATGCGAAAGTTTGTCTGACTGTCTGTCCCTTCACGCTTAAACCTTTGAACTGATTTAGATGAAATTTGGTATAGAGATAGTTTGAGTCCCGGGCAAGGATTTAGGTGTTTATTCTATGAAATTTCCTTTAAGGGGGTGAAAAAGGGAGTGCAAGTGAAAATGAAAATTGTAAGTTAGTAGGTATGTACGAAGTCGGGTTTCCACTAGTAAATATAAAGAAACTCGATCGCACTCGACTACATGACAAACGGTATTTTTGTTGTTCATAAGCTAATAATGGTGACTCGAATTCATGCAGTTACATAATTCATCTGCGTTAAGTCTCCCATCATGTAACGAAGGGCTCGAAGTGTCCTCGTAACTGGAGCTTTACTCTGTTTCTCCGAAACGTAATTTCGGTAACAAACGAATTTTAAACAAAATTTCGCCAGTGACTCTACTCTATTTCATTTTCAAACATGCACATAAAGTTCGAAACCATAAACAGTTTTCGTGAACGAATGGAATGAGTCATGTTTGTGTATTTGTTTCTTAGGTTTTCACGCACATCACTCATTAAATAAAACTAGTTTTTTAGGCTACGACGTAGCCTGTAAAGACTACGAAACGTCAATAAATAAATAAAGTTTTCGTGCATTAACCCGTAAAAACTAGTTTTATTCATGTTTGTGTGTTCTTTTTATCTTCACTTTTGAGATGACGTTTTTTTACTTGGAAACAATACAGGGTGGCCGGAGAGTTCATAAAATTCAAAAATTCAAAATTCAATATCGTTTATTCAGTCTAGGCTGTTACAAGCACTTGTGAATGTCGAAAAGCGACGCCATCGGTTCGCAAATCTACAGCGGGAGACCTTGTACTGAGAAGAACCGGCAAGAAACTCAGCAAGGGCTGTTTTTTTCTCCCTGTATTGTATACAGAGTCGTCAAATTTAAAAATGACTTCAATATGAGGTAACTCATAAAGTCACTTTCCATTACAAATGCTAATATAATAAAAATTATGACTATATAAAAAACTGATTTAACAAAGTTTAGGAATGCCGTGTCCTGCTGTTTAGGCAAAAAAAATGAACGATTAAAGTTTAGTACAACGGTTAATAGTATCCAATGAAGCAAGAGCAGACTCATCTCCGCTGGCAGCACCCGTTCACGAGCATGACGCATGAACCAGCCATCGCTTCGTTCAACCATTTTTTAGGGAACGCAACGACCCGCCTCACAACAAGAGTTGACGTTCAAGCGTAAAATTTAGATACTTTATGATGAGGAGTATCCAAATCACCCCCATGTATGTTCTACGATTTTGCGTAGTTTTCGAGTTATAATTTTTTTAATGATTTTTTTCGTAATTACCGCCTAACATCCGTTTTCGATTTTTTTCTCATTCTGTTGGACGTTTCTGGTTCAGTTTTTTTGTGATAACTGACTAACATAGTCTAACTTATCACCCTAAAACTTATGGTTTATCTAGGCATTGCAGAATTCACTTAGAATTTGTTCGAAAGTTCAAAATTACGATTTGAGCTCAGTACACACAAATTTTCAAAGTATCAAAAAAATGTAAATGGGGGCATTTTGAGTTCAAAGTGCTTTTAGAAACTTCCTGAAACATTAAACTTTAAAACAAGGCCAAATAAAGATAGGGTTAATGGGGGTTTTTTTTCTGTAACTGACCTTCAAAGTAAATTAAGGCATTTTTCAAGGAAAAAAAATTATTATTTTCTTTTATTTAAATCTTTGCCTATCTCTCAGTTATGATGGATTTGGATTGGATGCATGACGAGCGCGCACTCTAGGTAAGAGCTGGAAGTAATGAATTAGAAGTAAGATTATGAAGGTACTAAGATTGTTATTCTTACCAACTCGGTTTAAAATAAAATCACAAATGTTATAGGTATATTATCAATTACCTATAAAGAATGTGGAAATTTACTTATTTAATATTTTTTATTAATTTTATCTTAACTCAGTTTATAATCTATGTAAATATTTATGATAAATTGATAAAATTTCTAAATACCAGTTAAACAACAACCAATAACTTGAATTTTAACTACTGTTTACTTCTACGGAACACATTTGTGCTAAGAAGAATCTTTTTATATTGTGTTAAGTGGAGTGTGCTTAGTAAGAGGACGTTAACCTGATAACTATGGATACAGAATTGATCTAAAAACCGAAGTGTTTTGACAATTAGTTTGCACCGGTCTATGAAACATTTATACTGAAGAAAAAGAAATTGTTTGTAGCGAAAACTCGTTTAATGCTGCATTTCCACCCAGTGCACAGAAGAGATAAAAGTAGGACAAAGCCGATTTGCCGCTCTAATCGGAGCATCCCCACTTGGGAAGTACTCTTCACCTCACAGAGGATCATAGTAAAATCACAATATCTTTTGTTGTTGATCTGTTTCTATCGGTAAGTTAGGTCCCAGGGGTACCATGGGGTAATGGATAGGGTCAAGGGTAGACTTAGAGAATGAACTGAACAATACCTGCATGAAATTTCATCACTATCTAGAAAGAGAGAATGCGATATTATGCGACCAACGGGCAGAAAAGAGTGAAAGAGACGAAGCGATGGAGTGACCAGTAATAAGCGTTCGAATAGGAATGTTGACAAACTTTTATTCTTCTTCGTCTATCAGTTATATTATTAAAAATATTGGAAACGTGTTCATTACAGAGATAATTATATTGATTTGAAATGTCGCATGACGTCCGTACTGGTACAATTATTGCTTAGAAGTAACGTCACGAGCCCCCACTCCCAAAGTTTGACGCGCTTTATCTTTGTAATTTTTTAGTTGATTGACAAAAGAAAAAATGTGTATATTATTTTTTTTAATCTAATTGACAGACTAAATAGAATTCGTGTACTTTTAGCCAGTCTTCATTCCTATTTATCCGACAGCTGGCTAAGAAATATCTAATTAGTTCAATCTATCTATATCTATTTGGGTAGGCAACGGTGTAAGTCACACTTAAGTATCGCAAGCGTGTACAGGGTATAACTAAGAAATGACGACGCTATTTCTACCCGCGTCTGCCTTCTTAGCCTATGGAGGCCGCTCGGCACTCTTACTACTGGATTTAAATATATTGTTTCTTTCAGGATCAGTTTGAGTATGCACGCCGTTTGGTGACGCTGGGTCGGTATCGCGACGCAGCGCCCCACTTCGCCCGCGTCGCTGCCTCTTACATACCATTGGCGCACACAGCACGAAGGTTATTAGCTCAGGTCTGTTGGATATATACTGAAGGTAGCATTGCCCGTAAGAAAATTTCAATCGTGGAATTTGCGAGTGCACTGCAGAACCGTTTTACTCCACACAGTAGTGTTCTGCTACTTGCCAGCATGTTGAATTACGGGGAAGGTAGAAACTGAAGTGACACTATGGGATTATTGTCTAAAAAACCTTGATTTTCATGAGCTAATCATACAATTTATAACTATTATGGTGACAAACGGGAGCAAGATCCCAGAGATATCACATAAGCATTATTGAATTGTAACTATTCAAAATTTGACATATTTTAGCGCCATCTAACGAAGCAGCACGCCAGCACTTGCTCTGGTTCGGTCACTAACACTTTAGCTTTGAAGAGTAAGAAGTGTAGTTGTCCTATCACTATGTCTTTCTTACTTTTGAGTGAACAATTCTTGCATATAAAACTAACTTCACGTATTTCGAACACAGCTCGTAACGGTTTGGGAAATCTTTATTTACATCATGTTTTCGTTTGTTTGTATTTAGTCTAGTATTTCTTGTAAGAATTTAACTTTCCGCAACAATGCCGAAGAAAGCTCTGTCGGCATGAATATGATAGAGACATTTTTGGTAGGTAACTTTATTTTAATTTGTCCGCAGTTAATAGTCGTTCTCGCAGAAGGTCGGGATCCGCGTCGCATCACCCGCGACCTCTTCAAATCTGTGCGGCTTCAGTCAGCCGCTAGTTGGATCCGAACTGGCGACCTGGAGTGCGTACTGTGCTATAGTCCGTACACGAAACCCGTGACCACACCTTGCGGGCATACGTACTGTAGGACTTGCATCGAGCAGGCTCTCGACTACAGGAAGGCGTGTGCACTTTGCTCCAGGCCGCTGAACGACTTCAATCTGGCGACGGTAAGCTTTGTCAATATAAAATAGTGTATATTAAAGCACTTTCAGAAATCGCTTTTTGCAGAACTCGGCCTTCCGCGTCGTATTACCTGTGAGTTCTTCAAATGTTTGCATGTCTAAACTGCCGCTATTTGCCTAAGAACGAATTTGAAGATTGAGTTCTATGCTTCAGTTAGGCATAAGACTCGAGTTTAAGAAGAAAATCTCTCAAAAAATGAGCTCAAACACGTTATAAAACCGTGTCTAATATTTTTTGTGCTAAACTCTTAATATTGATTTGAAGATAAATCTGTTTTTTTTTCTTCAACAGGCCAAAGAGACGACGTTCGTCAGGGCCGCTTTGGAAGCTATCGGCGCTTATGGGCCGCCTCTACCGCCTGACCCAGATGTTATACCTATTTTCGTTTGCACCGTCGCGTTTCCATGGTAAGTCAACATTACTTTCATCAAAATACAAAGAGCAAAATGTTGCCTAAGGGTTCCTCGTTATAACAGGTCAATACACTAACGGCTAGTTTCAATAATCAAACTCCAGTAAGTGGCAGGCCTACTCGAGTTTTGTGGGTAAAGATATTTTTATTACTAAGACTAATAATAGTACAAGATTCAAAGACCGCCAGACCTTACATATTATTTCATGGAAAAAATATGGATAATCGGGTAGTATTAGTGTATACAATGAACGTATACATACTTGCTAACTTGTGCTGTGGCTGTGGGCCAATCTTCGGGTATCAGGTGGCACAGGCTGACGACAGGCAGACATAAAATATTTACTCACTTACAGTCTGAGGATTCCGTTGTAGAGAATATTGTAAACAATTTGAAATTGATACTGCCAGACACATTCAGTCAGCATTATTTAATGTCAGACACTTTAAATGTCGAAAGCAAAAAACACAAATTTACAGTCTGAGACCTACACAATTATTCATATTTTTGTTCATGAGAAAATAAATAAGGTCTGGTGATCTTGGGATCTTACTAATGGAAAATAAGGTGATAGCAGATAAATTCACAGTAGAAGAACTAGTAAAAACCTTCAATGAAACACACACGTCCTGATACTTTGGTATTTTTTTCCGAACATGTGAATATATTATTACAATGTGTCAAGCCTGTAGTGTGACAGATTATGGAGGCGAATTCTCCTTCCCCAACCTTTGTCCTCGAATACTTTTTGGAGGTTCGACCAAGCTTCCTTAGCTGTCTTGGCGTTGTACACGTGCGTAAAACATTTTGGTTCCAATAGTAAACATATTGTCTTTCTCGCTTTTCTGTCGGTAGTAGGAGTATTACTTACTAGGGATAGGGTTTTTTGTCTTTTTCACCCCGTTTGGGGATTGCCTAGTACCCTAGCGCAATCCCCAAGAGGCGTTTCACCCGGTCCACTCGTTGGGCCGGGCCGGCCCGGGGGCGTCCCAGTGAAGTGGCGTAGTTCTTAGTTCTTTGCCCTTTTTTATTCCACTGATCCTGGTTGACACTCATTCCAAAATTTTTCGTTTTTGTGAAAAATACGAATTCAACACTACACTTTTATCTGGTTAAAATACGGAGCACATAACCTCATGGAAAATTATGTTGATAACAGATAAATTCACAGTGGAAGAACCATTAAAACCTTTGAATAAAAAACACGTACATCCTGATGCTTTGGTATATTTTTCCGAACAACTGAATATACATATTTGTATGTGTCAAGCCTAGTGTGACAAACTATAATAGACAATATCTAGCCAGTGTGACTCACGACACTCTTCATCCGCATCCTCCAACACTTACTCTATAACAGCCGTTGTTAAGAAACGAAACTAGATTATCCTTTTATTGGAGGTTGATTATAATAATCAACCAACCCGCACCTCACTTACGGCCGGTTTCAATAATTATTGAAATTGATCGTAAGTGGGGTGTGGATAGCATTACTGGACACCAATCAACACTATAATATTATGGCATAGAGGAGGGATTATAAAAGCAAGCTACTTGTAGACATAATAACTGTCGTATACTAGTAAGTTCTGCAATAGCAGACGTTGTCTTCTCTAGTCTCTAGTGAACAATAGTTCACTAGAGAAGACAACGTAAGCACGAGTTAAGTTATATTTTTTACATTTATGTACATTTTTATTGGTGCCTAACTGATCTAAATAATTTCAGTACTAAAATCTATTTAACTCCTTTTCTCAGGTTCAGAAATCAGTAAATAGATAAATAGATTTTCTCAGTCGCAGAAAAAATATTTTTTTGAACTCGTTCACGCGGTTCAATCGTCACAAAAATAGTGTCGAACTGATATCAGCGTCTCTGGAGCTAATTAGATAGAAGTAGAACTATGAAAGAGTGACGTCAGTGCAATATTCGTAGTTTGTACATACAGTTTAACATTTGAATACAGCAGCCCCTAAGACTTGACGTGCCTAATAAAGCACTGAGCGAGGTTTATTAGTAATCACCCATCCCAGCCTTGGTACGTGTGTGAACCTTCAGCCATCTAGATCACCTTACTGGCCAAGGATACTTGCTAAATGCAAAACAAGAGTGTATATTTGTTAAGGGATATCATCATCATCAACCATTAATGTGCTGGGGCACAGGCCTTCCCTATGGATGGACTAGGGAGATTGAGCCAAGATCCACCATGCAGGCCCAGTGGGGATTGGTGGCTATAGATGCAGCTGTGACCAACGGTTTAACGTGCTTTTCGAAGCACGAAGAACGCGGCACAATAAGTTTTGGTTACCCATCCAATGACCGACCATTTTGAAAGTTGCTTAACTTCCGTGCCATCGAGCTTCTCGTGGTTGTCATAAACCAACTTTTGAATACAACGATGCCTGAAGATACACAAAGGAGTGTCTCTTCAGGCATCGTTGAAAGATGATTGAATATCGATCGGGGATCGTTAAAACTTTGATTGATGTTTAAAGATCGGCGCGTCGATTGTATCGAGTGTTTGTTTGATGATTTTAGTATTTCGTGCCCGCTCCTGATCTTTGATCCTCGTTACTGGCTCATGATCAGGCGCGTGTTGGAGTCGGGCTCGCGCAAGTTCGGCATGGTCGCCTATGACAAGGACAAGGATTATTCAGACTATGGAACGGTAAGTGATTATTACTGTTTAATCAAGCGAATCTATAACAATTAAATTAGAAGATTTATTTTGTATAATCCATAGACGTAGAGACATAGACCAACACGCAGGGGAGTAGCCATAGCGATATTATATTCTTCAAATCATTCTGTATTTTTTTACGGCGGGAATATGCACACAACCGTAGTTAACGTACATGCATATAAAACAAATCTGTAACTACTACACTCACACCTAATCAATGACACAATACATTGCCAAATCCTGCACACGTGTATCCTGTGTATGCCCTTGACAAGCTGTGTATGCCTACTTCCCTTTTAGCCAAGTCTGCCGTGTTGCTCTATGCGTAAGGAATAGCTTAAGCGTCCCCTCAGAACAAGAACTAAAGCATATAAGTAATCAAAGAGGTGTAAGAATAGAGTAGGGGAGATATAGACTACTACAAGTGGAAGTGTCCCTCTAATAGAAAGAGATAGAAGAGACCAGTAACTTTACTCTCTAATCACGCATGCGCATTGGCATCTTACTATTTCGATGTGATGCCATTGGATGCCATGCGTCACAAGAGAAAGAGATAGCTAACGGTCTCTCATCTTCTTTCTCTTTCTACTAGACGGACACTTTTAGAGCCGCCTTCCTCACTCTATTCTACTACCTCTATGGAATTAATACGTTAGTGCGTATACTCCCATAGACTAGATTAAAAAAAAAGTTTTCCAAAGAAAATATTACCCAACCAAAGAGTATAAGCGGCGTGATGGCAGACTGCATTTGACATTAGACCGCTTTCTGATTTGGTATCGTTAAAATAACCAAGGTATCTACAAAGCTTATGAGGTATCCAATTTGACGTTTTGTTTAGTGGTACGCACGCTGTTCATAGCAACAAAGTATTTGTCCCTTTTTCGGTTTATATATAAAAATATGAAAACTATATCAGTCGACTTTATGAGTTGAATTTAAACTCTTTCCATGCTTTAGTTCTTGTTTTGAGAGCATTCTCTTACCAACTGTAGAGTTAATCTTGGGTAAGTGTCAGAAATACGAAGCTTGCTTAGGTATCGGCTGTTTTTTCTTTACTTCAAGAGAGTTGTCCATTTCATGCGAGTATCGCTCAGCCTATTCCTTTTTACCCTTTTTTTCAAGAGCGCGAAGCGCGACGCGCAGACAGGGTATAGTGTTTAACAGTCTATATATGTATGTTTGTTCCTTTGTGGCACACTAGAGACCAAACGCCTGGACCGATTTTAATGATTTATACATCAATCGATTCGTCTCAATCATGGGAGTGCTACTAAAGATATGATAGTAATCAAAATTCAATATGGGGAAAATTAGACGCCATATTGTGACGAAGTAAAAAAAATAAGTTGACAAAATATGTCGAGTGGGGTATCACTGTCTAGATAATCAAAAATCATATTTAGGTTCCTAACACCATTTTTCATTTTATATGATTGTTTAGAACCTACAACGCTTTAAAGTTGTATATTAACCACTTACGCTTTTAATTTCAATCTTACCTTTGTATGGATCTTTGTAACTCTTTCACCTTGAAAAATACTGAATGGATTTTGATGAAACTTAACAGTAATATAGCTCATATATGATAATTACATATATATAATAATTTATGTAGTTATCGAGTGAATTGGGCAATATATAACAATAAGTGTCACATAAGACGGAAAAAAATATCCCATCTGCGAGCCATTTTGGCCTGCACTGCAATAACAATAAAAGTTACATGAATGTAATATAGAGTGAAAATGTATCTCTGAAATAGTTCTAAAAAAAAGTCCGTGACACCATATATCTATTTTTAATGTGTAAGTCATTACCGCTAAAATAGTGAATCAAAACTAAAATATTATTTGATATCTATTTCCAAAATGCACATTTTGTATTAACAAATCTTTTTTTATCAAAACAAATACTTTTATCGCTTTTGATATTTAAAGACGATAAACTTTGCTTCTTACACTATATCATTTCGACAAATATTTAAAAAGTTACAACCTACTCCAAAAGAACACCGTTACAATATAATAGAGGGAAGAATAGAGGGAAATATCAACAGAGATGGGTCCGTTACGGTTAAAAATATTAGTTTCCACAAAAAACGCATTTCGACAAAAGTGTCGCTTACGATAATTTGGCGGTAAGGGCTCGATATATAGTTAGGATAATAGTATTTAATTGATGAAAAAGATTTAAAAATAAAGTAACTAATAGGGTTATCTGATTATATTATATTATATTTTGTAAAAGTTACTTAGCATTTGTGCTTAACAGTGATACGATATTCGGTATTTTTATTACACAAAAAAAAATGGAAATTAATTGCCATGATTGCACTATTTGCAATACCTACTAGGCTGGTAGCAGCACGCTTGATATGTGGAAGTACTCTTCATTTGAGCTTTACACTACCAACAATAAAAAAGGGTCGATCACAAAGTCTTTGACCTGTTATAATATGTGAACGCTTTAAAAGAAAACTACAAAATAAATTGATAATAAATGAGATTGCTATGGCGCTCTACCTAACGTTATCAAAATTTTATTATGCGTCTTTAGTTTTCAAATATTATAAACTTTGCTTTGGTGATTGCATAATTATTTAATTTAGCGATCTAAGGCAGTTGCCACCATTATCCAAAACAACAGACGGGAATTACTACTCTCTTCAACCTGCGACATAAACGTCATTGATTGGTATTGTATATAGGATGATTAACAACATTTGAAGTTAACTTCTGGCATCTACATATTGGGTTTCTGTGAATTATGTAGGTATATCAAATTATGAGACTAGGATATGACACTGCATTTGTGTATATCACAATCTTAGACGTCCGGCGTTGACATGACAATGCAGCCACTGCCAATTTTAAATAGTCGACGAATAAAAGTAAATGAATTTTATATTTACTGCTAAACTACTAGAAAGAACATAAACAAAAGATGACTTTTTGAATAAGGGCTAGTTTTCTTTAAAATTTACATACATTAAATATTTATATAACGACTTGATTTAACTTCACACATTTTTGTGAAAAAGGGCAGAAAAAGGCCCATCTGTAGCCTTGACCCCGCTGGTAAAGTCTCTATATGTCTCAATAAATCAATCTTTTAGACCACCGCAAGTTACTTAATAATTCCTGCGATATTAATTCCCTTACTGAAGTAACAAGACTACGGTATTTACCGTCTTAAGATCTAACTAGGTAACTAAAAAGTGTGAAATAAAAAAGGTAAATTTAAAAAATCAAAAAACCCGACTGCTTAATTATACTTCAAATTAAAACTGAAAAGAAAAAAAACAAGTCCAGTAGTCTATAATTCTGGTAATAAGGAACAAAGCTACTTTAACAGTCGGGACCCATTATTGAAAAATATTATGTATTCTTGAATATCTAATGGGTCCCGACTGTTAAAGTAGCTTTTTTCTTATTACCAGAATTATAGACTACTGGACTTGTTTTTTTTCTTTTCAGTTTTAATTTGAAGTATAATTAAGCAGTCGGGTTTTTTTGATTTTTTAAATTTACCTTTTTTATGCATTGTATTACTTACTAAAGAAACTTACTCAACTGACTTACTGATGCTGTCACTTTTGTTTCCTAAAAAGAAGACTGAGACAACATTAGGTTATGACCATGACCGCCCCCTGGGTCCGCCCTTTTAAAGAATGTAGACTACCTACCTACCTATATTTATCGTCTTAACTTTATAAATATTTTTCACCGGCATTTTTAGTGGGAAATGTTCAGGTTGTTTTTTATAATCAATATTATAATCACGTTTCACAGATCCTAGAGGTTTGCGACTGCGTTCAGTTGCAAGATGGCCGTTCATTACTCTCTACGGTCGGCGTTTCCCGTTTCAGGGTCATTGAAAGGCATGTTAGAGATGGGTAAGTGACATAAATATATCTTATTCTAAGAATTATAGACAAATACAGTTATATAACAATTGCTTTGAGGCCACGGTCAGTAGATAATTAGGTTGAATATCCAATAACAACAAAAGAGTGAGCAGAGATCTTATTGTGTAACTTCCACTGCTTGCGCGATTTCTTTCGTATTTATAACTGGGAAAGAAATAAGCTTATGTCGCAATGCTCTAATCCTATTATATTCCGATATTAATAAATAGCAACTGAATGTACTCCGTCCACCGCAAATCAAAGGCGTTTTTATATAAAATTTTTATTTATTTTTAAATCTAAAGAAAAAATCCTGAACCGCATGGAATTCTTTCTAGTAAATTTTGTTTTAATAAAAAAAAATGCAGTAAAATGCTTAAAAATTTTAAATATAATAAGTTTCATTTATTTTTTCACAGATGCGACGTCGCTCGTATTCAACCGTTGACGGATATAACACCCACAGATGAGTTTGTAATGCTGGAGATGCGTTTGATGGGCTCCCAAGTGTTGTGCAAAGCCTTAGTATGGCTGAACAGTATGAATAAGACTGTTCGCCAAGAGATAGAGACTTCGTTCGGTCAAATCCCGAGGTCGGACGACGTCAACGAGGACTGGTGTGTCAGCCCCGATGGTCCTGCTTGGCTGTGGTGGCTCATAGCCATATTGCCGCTACGGTCGGAAATTAAGGTGAGACATTCACCTTTTTGAGGAGCTCGATGGCGCGGGTGGTTAGTGCGTTCGGCTGCGATCGTTGAAGTTAAGCAACTTTCGCAGTGGTCGGTCATTGGATGGGTGACCAAAAATTCTTCTATCTCGAGTTCCTCCGTGCTTCGGAAGGCACGTTAAGCCGTTGGTCCCGGCTGCATCTGCAGTCGTTAGTACCCGCCAATCCACACTGGGCCCGCGTGGTGGGTCACGGCCCAATCTCCCTATTCCATCCATAGGGACGGCCTGTGCCCCAGCAGTGGGGATATTAATAGGCTGATGATGATGATGATTCACCTTATAATCAAATCTCTATTTTCATAGCTTGTTAGGCAAATGACTGATGGATCAAGCTATTTACCAACCAAATAAAGCAGTAGGCTTTATTAGAACGCCACTGAGATAGTTGTAAAAAGCTAACGAAAAAGTTTGCGAATAGGCCGCCTGATATTGAGTGGTGATAGTGCTTAATAAATGTACTTGTTTTGGTTTGTTTTTTTATCACCATCATCAGCCTATTAATTTTCCCTAATGGAATACAGAGATTGAGGTGCTAACGACTGCATACACAGCCGGGAATTAACGGGTCAACTTGACGTTTGAAGCATGAGATGGTACTTTTTTAATAACCCTTACCCATCCTGTGACCGGTCATTGAAAAAGATACTCAACTTCTACGATCACACTACACCACACCTCACACAAGAATAGAAAATGTTCAACTCTTCCATTTTGTCAGGTTGGATTTGGGCACCTGGGCATTTTCAATTTAAATATGAATTTGTCATTACACTTTACTTCTTGTATGTAAAGTTGAGGTTACGACAAACTATAAACACCACACTAATTACTATAAAACATAGCTTATGTCACTCAGGAATAATGCCGTTTTCCGCTGGCGAAAGAATTTTAAAAATCGTTAAAACATATGAATCTTTTCCCTTCACATTATTATTAAAGATAAAAGTGTACTGTCAAATTCAATAACTATCTTGGCCTCGACTTGATTAACTTACGATCTCCGCTTCGGTTTACTCCAATCTGTTTCTCGTTCTACCAGATTCTGATTCTTTCGACGAAGAACCTTCTCAAAAGGCTGATGGCCGTTTCCCGTACATTGGACGCCATAGACCAAGTGGCCATAACCACTACTTCTACTTCAGACTGCGAAATACGAAGTGCCCTCACCAACGCAGAGGAATGGCTCGAAAGGGGCTCTTGACTACAAGTGCATCTCGCCAATATAGGCAGAATGCCCGATTAGTATACGCATCCCAATTGGTTAGTTCATAGGGCTGCGGTGACTATGAAGTGGTTAGATTTCATCAGAAGGATAAGGTAGCAATGAACATTATTATTGTGTTAATTCCTAAACCAGACAGAGATTCTCAGAATTACACTTAGTACGGTATTATGGAAATGGAAAATGGGGAGACACGTGGGGCTCTTGACTACAAGTGTATCTCGCAAATATAGACAGAATGCCCGACTAGTACACGAAGCGATTAGATCTAATCATAAGTTAATTTATAAACCATTTCCTCAAAATTAAACATAGTACGTATTACGAAATACGGAAAAGAAAAATGGCCAAACTGAATGTTAAATGTTTTCGTGTGCGTATATTGTGAGTAGTGAATACCTTTTTCACGGTAACCAAGAAGGTGGTGCGTTTTTCAACAGTTCTTGTCTTCCTTGAAGCGGGTAATTACTTTAGTGTGTATAGGCAGTAAGATAACCTATCTCTGATTTCATTCATCATTTACGCAAACATGACATTTCCGAACGTTGATATTTTTAATAGTGATGTCGTATTTCAATATACCGCTATTTGTCACACTGTTAATATAGGCTCACCTCACAATGGCGTGTCTTAGAGACTCGACGCGTCATGGTTTCCCAGTGTTTCGCCTATAGCAAATTTAACTATATCTCTAATATATAAAATTCTCGTGCCACGGTGTGCGTAATTGAAGTACTCCGAAACGGCTCGACCGATTTTCGTGAAATTTTATATGCATATTCAGTAGGTCTGAGAATCGGAAAACATCTATTTTTCATCCTCCTTAATGTTAAGACCCTTAAAGGGGATTGGGTAATTTTGTATGGAGGTTGGCTGGTTTTTTTTTTCAGCGGCCACTGAACTTATTATGATTGTTTGATAGTACTATATATGTGAATTGTTCTTAGCAAAGTAGTATTTCCATAACTAATATCGGAACCAAGATATTTGATCTTGAATTCTAACAAAAGTCATATGATATAAAAGCTCATTAAATTATCTCCTGAGATTATTATACATGTTTAGTATTGTGGTAACGCTTTCTTAAAGCTAACATTAATGAAAAAAAAAGAAACAGATCAAAAACTTGATCTAGAGTACCTAGAGTACCTACCTGGGCCGCGGTAGAATTGGTGCTCGATGACGCTGGGAAGTTCTTTGAAAGAATTCTGGCGGGGCGTATCATCGAGCACCTGAGGGAGCCGGACCCAAATCTGGCAGAGCACCAGTTCGGGTTGCGGCGAAACCGGTCCACGGTGGAGGTGGTGGCCCTTTTGAAGGGGTGGACCGAGGCGGCCACTCGTCGGGGAGAGACTGCTATTGCGGTGTAGCTAGACATCCGTAACGCCTTTAACAGTCTTCCCCCCCAAAATAATACCTGCCTTCATATTTGACAAAAAGTACAGTATACATCTACTGGATGACAACGATCCCAAGGTATCATACAAGGCTCTCATGATCTACACCGACAGCTCTAAAACCTCATCGGGCACGGGCGCGGGTGTTTTCTCTGAGGACCTCAATATACATATCGCTTTCCCCTTAAGCCCGTACAACACAGTTTTTCAAGCTGAATGTATGGGCATCATACTGGCGGCAAGAGCGATCTTGTCAAGAAAGGCAACAGAACAGGAAATACGAATACTGTCCGAAAGCAAATCAGTCCTACAAGCTTTAGATGTCTGTTTAGTCAAATCGAGCCTCCTGCAAGAATGCCACCAAACCCTAAACACGGTACGGTAAAGCAATTCTATTACTATCCAAAAGATAAAGGGACACAGTGGATCACGCAGAAACGACGCTGCGGATGAGCTGGCCTGGAAGGGGTCCGATTCGACCCCAACAGGTCCCGAACCAATCGTCCCGATACCAGTAAGCTGTCTCGTAAATAAAATCTGCGTGCACACAGCCTCACTACACGAGCAACACTGGCTCGATCTGAAGACGTGCAGGCAGACCAAGCTCGCTTTGCCGCGGGTGAACGCTGTCCTCTCCAAAACTCTTCTACAGCTAAGCAAACCTACATTGCGCATGGTAACAGGTGCTATTACCGGACATGCACATTTTAACAGACATCTTTTTAATTTAGGTGTCACGGACAACCCTCTATGCAAAGGATGCATGGAGGCAGAAGAAACAGCTACTCACGTTCTGCTGGAATGCAACGGAGTGGCCGAATACCGGGCGAAATACCTCGGCTCACCGGGAAACCTCCAAGAGGCAGTCACAAATGTGAAGGCCCTGGGGGCGTTCCTGATGAAGCTGGGCTGGCTGGAGTGATTCCGGCTATACACCCTCCTAACGCAAAACAGGCGCCATAAGGACGTCGAGTTGCGGAAACGCTCGTAGAAAGAAGAAGAAGAGAGCAGTCTCTCCCTCGAGTGTATTATGGAGGCACTACATTTTCACTGCGTGCCTCCATACCTGCGAGCCATCGTGGAGGACTACCTGCAGGGGAGGTCAGACTTCTACGAGGGGCCCGATGGAAACGTATGCTCTCGGGCCATGGCCGCAGGGGTACCCCAGGGGTCAGTGCTGTGTCCACTGCTCTGGAACCTGGGGTACGACTGGGTGTTGCGAGGCAGCCTTCTTCCCAGCACGGATGTTGTCTGCTTCGCCGACGACACGTTGGTGGCGGCGAAGGCAAAGTTGGTAGAGGAGGCGGTTCGCCTGGCGTCGGTCGGCACTGCGCTAAGCCGGTGTGGTGGCCTCTTTTCCGCATAGTACAGATACTGACCGGACACGGATGCTTCGGTTACTACCTGTACCGTATCGCCCGCCGGGAAGAAACGCCGCAGTGCCATCACTGCGACGCCCCGGATGAAACGACCGAGCACACCTTGTTGGAGTGCTCGGCCTGGCTACAGCAGCGCTGCGACCTAATCGCGGCGCTGGGAGGCGGAACCCTCTCGCTGAGGAGCATGGTAGAGGCCATACTCAGTAGCGAGACGGCATGGCAGGCGGCTGCCTCCTTCAGCAAGAACGTCTTCTCGTAGAATGAGGCAGCCGAGAGGGAGCGGGAGCATGATCCCCTGGCCGCTCCCTCCCGACGAAGAAGAGCGGGCAGGAGAGGACGAGTGTGCGCCCTGGCTGCGCCCGTCCCATAACCCTGCCCGTGGGGATCCCGAGCGATATACACTATGAGACCTAAGTGGAATATCCAAAGACTGATGTGATTGGCTGAGGCGGTCAAACCAGACAAAAAAGGGTCTGATAAACCGTTATTAACTTAAATGGTATGTTTTAGACAACAATCATACAAAAAAGCACGTAAGATTTAATGATATGAATTTACGATTAGTCTATTTTAAAAAAATCATATCTTGGCTTCGATGTACTTTACAGATATATGGCCTTAATATTTTATTTTTACTTTTTTTAGTTCTATTCATTAAAAAATAAAGCATTCGTGGCCGCAGACTTTGAAAATCAAGCCACTTTTACCCAAACCCCTTTATTTATTTTTTGGACATGTTTTTTTGTTTTTATTTTATATCATACAAAAATACATACAACCCTTAATTTTCACCCTTCTACGACCAACCCCTATTTTTTTATGGCGGTACGAAGTTCGCTGGGACAGCTAGTATTACTATCGTGACTCCTCAGTATCAGGTTTCATGTTTTCCATCTGTAGCAAATTCATCTCTATTTTCCCACTATTAAGGTATTGCCAAGGTGAAAAACATGACCTGTCACTTCGCTTCTACTCTGCGTCAGTGTGAGATGAGCCATACATAATATATTGGTTCCCGGAAATCTTATGAAGCGTTGTAAGATGTTTTCACAATTTAGTTTTGTATTGTGATAAGAAATGGTCATAGTGTATTGCACCGAACCAAGATTGATCAATGTAGTCACCGAAATAGTATATATTAATTGTACAAGTTACCCTATAAGGATCAGTTTGTCAATTTCTCATTTTCCGAGAATATTCTTATAATTTGGGAGTACCCCAATGAAAAGTTTATTCTTTGCACACTTTGATGTTATGTACTATTACAGAAATTCTAGATACGGTACAAATAACAAGCAAAATTTTCAGCACGGTATCTAAAACTGTGTTGGGCTCCAACATTTTTATATGAACTCTTTTACTGTGGGTTGGCTATTAATCCATATTATTCAATACAGGTAATTTTTCTTTGTTCAAGATATTCATTATTGAAAAGTGCGAAAAGCCTGTGCGAAATTCAAATATTGATCGAGAGCGATTGTGACGTTGAAGATTTTGACAGTTCTATCAGTAAATCTAGGAGGATTATATGAAAAAACTATGAGGGGTCACTGCGGCCCATTAGTATTAGTCGAAAGTCCCAGGAACAATTTAACGTCTCTCTGTCTCTTTGACTTAAAAATATTCTATCTCTGTCGCACATCTTGTCAAGATTAAAGTGCGAAAGAACAGAATGTCTTGCATCGTCATTTTCGATTCGCTTCTTTACTGACGCGAGTTATTCAACACGATAGTTCTGGCATCCCTACGGAAAAAAATACTAAAGATGTAGTTTAGTGTGCTTGTTATTTGTACCGTACAGTAAACTATGAAAAGACAATAACCAACCCTTTTTGGCTGATGTGACAAATTGGTTTCCTCAAATAGTATGCACATTACACTTGCATACTAAGTGCAACTACATAGTAAATATAGAATTGTATATTTTTATTATTCATCGGGGACTACATGTAATCATATTGTAATGATTTTAAGAGAGAAATGTGTTAAAAAAACCTACAATTTTTAACTGCGGTTTGGTATAATGTCAAATTTTTAGGCTACTCATTCATTAGACTATTTGTGTGTGATTTCATCTCTGTTGGCTTAGTAAGAGCCAAGTTCTTAATAGACGTAAAAGTACATGTGGTTTTTAAATATGTGAAATTCTCGTAAAAATCCTATTTCAAATACACAACGTCGTATAATTGATATCGAACCTGCC